TTTCTCATTGTTGTGACAATTACCAGACAAAAGCAGGATAAGGAAAAAGGGTTTATTTTTGCTCTCGGTCTGAAGGCACAGTCCTTGGTCAGGAAGTTATGGTGATAGAAGTTTGAGGCATTTCATCTTCAGTCAGAAAGTGGAGACTAATGAATGCTGGTGCTCTGCTCTCTATTTGCCCACTCCAGAATGCCAGCCCAGGCAATGATGCCACCCACAGTTAAGGTGCTTAGCCCAACTGCTGTTAAACTAACCTAGATACTAGTCACAAGCATGGGTGATTCTCGAGTCTGTCAAGTTGACAGTCACTGATAACCATCACAGTTCCTTGCTGAAGTAAGGACTTTCACCCAAGTCAGAGAGGACTTCAGCATCTTCAAGCATCTGAGGTGATAGGGAGGTGAAGACAGTGCTGAATTTGGAGGAGGAAAAAAAAATACAAAGATACTATGTTGCTTTCTATTTCCTGCAGCAAAACACTAAGTATCCCATAGATTGCCTGTCTCACAGAAATGGGTGATCATGGGTGCTAAAGGTAGATACAGTGCACCTGAAAATGCAGAAGGCACCAGGAGAACCAAGAGCTCGGGATGTGTGTGAATGTGTGCAGGTGTAGGCAGCTATTAGAGTGGAGTAGCTGGAAGACCAGCAAGGACCAAGCTGACACACTTCAGCGAGAGAGTACCCAGATAATATAAAATTTCCAGTTAAATTAGCCTTCCAGCAAACAGAGACTCACTTTCCCAGATGCCTGGCTCCATATTTCACAGGGAAGAGAATATACCTAATCACTGTTTTCTAATTTGCACTTTTCTTTTGTATTTTGTTGTCTTGCAACTCTAAGCTTCGATGATGTTTGGCTGACAGTCATGATCGAAAGCAACTGATTGCTCAAAAATTGTATGTCCTCTAGATAAAGAAATGGGAGCGGAGCAACTCACGCTCCTGGAATGATCACTCTTAGGAACTGATTTGAAGTAGCCCAGGCCATTTTGTGATCAGAGAAGAGAAAAGATCACAGTTCTAATATATAGCCAGAGCCAACAGCTTGCTCTGTCCACACTGTCCTTCCACACAGGAGGGCCAGTGGGCAAGGTCATAATCAATCACGATATGGTTTTATTTGTCTGTACACTGAATATTCTATTTAATTTGATAGTTGGAATGTAGTTACTTCATGGAAAAATTCATCTTGCTGTTTTCTCTTGGGTCTTCAGATGGTGTATAATAAATTAAATATTCTCATAAACTTTGTTGACATAAAGGGGAAGTTCCTGACTCAAGAAGGCAAACTAAGAAAATGAAGGCAGACAGTGTCCTTCCCTTTGTTATCACAGGAGGGGCCTCCTGTGGCTGTTTATTGCTAATGAATGAACACAGCCATCCTTCAGGCTGCTCATCACTGTCTACCTACCACAAAGTCCATCCAAAACCTCTGCATTTCAGAGGATCCCTGCTGGAGCATTTATCCTTTTAAAACTTGACCTTCAGCACACGGGTGACGACTCTCTTGTGTTCCTGCTTCACAGACTTCTCTTTGCTCCAGTGGAAACTGTTTTAATGGACATGCTTTGCACTTGTGAACACGCTCTGTTGCAAAGGAAGTCCCTGAAGTGTCTGTCTCCTTCAATTTTCCATGATACAAAGAAACTGGACTTTGTTTCTTTGTGTACTCAACTTTTCTGCCCTCCCAAATTTATTAAATGAGTTCTAGGTATGAACCTTGGGGTCTTCGGCAGCAGAGTTGAGATGTGGGAAGGGCGCAACATTTACATATTACTGATTGTAATTAGAATTTAGGTTTCAAAGACATTTCCTTCTGCTGCTATTAGCTCAACTGCAGATGTTAACCCTAATCCTGATTCAGTTGTACAAAAATTGATGTTAAATGATCCTGAACTATCACTGATACCAATGCCTGTGCTAGTACAAATATAAAGAGCAACTGTGTTAGCAATCCCCAACAGCAAATCTGATCTACTACTGTGCAGAGCTCTGGTTTTTCCAGGGAAGCAGAGCCAGGATAAGGGGAAGGAAAAACGTTTATTTTAAGGAATTTCCCCATGCAAGTCTCGAAACTGGACAATCAAAGGTCTTCATGGCAGGAGCTAGGTAGGTGTCTGGAGACTGCGGAAAAAGCTAATTGTGAGGTTGAAGGCTAAAGACTTCCACATTGGAGACCCAGGAAATAATTCTTGTTGTAGTTCAAGACAAATGCAGCACAATTCCCACTGATTTGAGAAATCTCAAGCTCAGTAGTTTGTGCTACTTGGGTCTTCAACTGATTAGATGAGGCCCTTTTACATTAGACATGCTTGCATTAGTTAGTGTCTACTAAGAAACATTAATTTCTTCCAAAAAATACCCTCTCTGATCATGTCTTGAATAATGTGTGACCACAAAAATAACAATGAGATCAAGCGACATAAAGCTAATGGCCACAGAAAATCAACCATCACATGTATGTTAAAATAACATAGGAACATTATGTCAGGTTCCACTAATTTTAGAAAGCTAACCAGCAGAGATGCCTGAATCCATAAAGTATGTATCACGTGTATAGTTATACTATATATGTATAATATGGAATATGAATATGTATATGTATATACATAGATATACAAATATTGAGAGGAAGAAAAGAGGTACACACTCATTGTAAGGAGAAGAATTGACTTACAGGGTTGTAAGTTCAGCTAGCCAAGCCTAAAATCAAAGGCTGGTCATTAGGCAAGACATGCTGAACATGGTGGGCAGGAGGGGATACCATAGTCTATTGCTGGAGTTGTTTCTGGGAAATCTCAGCTCTGCTTTGGAGACCTTTCAACCAACAAAGTTAGTGTTAGTTTTCATAACTTCCCTTTCATAAAAAAGCAACTGTCTGTAGCAGAAAGCCACATTTACAGAATGTCTAGATTGGTGTTTGATTGACTGATGGGTACTATAGGCTAGCCATGTTGGGTGTGTGAACTTGAATATCGCAAACATTTAAAGCAATTAACACAATGCCTGTTGATCACTTCTGGCAAGGATAGTAATATAAATGAGTGTCAAGTTCTGAACTTATAGCTATCTTCACATATAGTATAGTAATACATGTGAGGGTTATCCATATGAATCTATATGTATTTTCATGTATGTTTTGTGTTAAGCTTGTGATACAATTGAAAATAAATTGCAGTCCTGTATATTTATATGACTAGGCCAAAACTCTCAGCACCAACTTTCATTCCCAACACCCAGAACTTACCACAGTGCTAAGAGCTTTAAATTCATTTTATATTTTCATATACCCTAAGAGAAATCTTACTTGGACTTTTCAGTACAGAAGGATAGGGTTTCAAGGTAGGAAATTTCAACTGTTTGCTAAAGATTATGTAGCTCTCAAGTACAAAGACAAAGATACTCCCGTGGGATGGTCCAGCAGCCTTAGCCAGGATGGAAAGAACTATGTGGCAGGAGGGACAGAGATGGAGTGCACAGAGGAGTCAGAGCTAGGGACATCCATATGGGAGCTGACAATAGGGCAACCTTATCATTGAGGGAAGACTTCAGCAGGCAGAATTGGGAGTGAGATGCTGAGAAAGAACAGGGAAACTCCTACCAGGAAGGGGGTTAAGACTCAGAGAATGGACAGACAGAGGGAAGTGTAGGCTCTGGGGGCAACTTCAGCATCAAAAATGCAGGATTGAGAGAACAGCAGAATCACCCAAGGACTACATCCTTGTGTGTAGAGAAATTTTGTCAGGGAACCTGCCATGGGAGCCCAGCTTGGTATCTGGGTTCACAATGGGGCCACCAGAAATTGACAAGGAGTATCAGAACCCAGAACTCTCTAGGAGGAACTGGCTGCCAATTGATCTGGTCAATCAATGCCGAGAAGAGAATGTTGAGGAGATGAGCAAGAGGCAGGGACAGTTCTGAAAAGGTGGAATTTCACAGAGATGGTGGTGGTGATGGTGGTGGTGATTGTGGTGGTGATGGTGGTGGTGATGGTGGTGGTGATGGTGGTGTTGTGTGTGTGATTTGTAGGAATGTGAGCTTTCACATGTTCACGTAACTTTTCAGGACATATTCTCATTGTTTTTTCAAGTCCCTACACTGTAAAGAAAATCTCAGGGAAAATGGAGGACTTGAATATCTGAGGACCTTGAGTTCAATTTGGCCAAGGCACTTTTTTTGGGTGCAAAATTTCTAAAATGCCTTGAAAGTATTTTTCAGGGCACATTCAGTGACTTCACTCAGCCCAACTTAAATGGTCTATTTTGGTTTTGAGTTCATAAAGCCCCCCCTCTCTCTCCCTCATTTCCCTGTTCAGGTCCACGTCCAGATAAAACAGCTAACTCAAATACAGTGTAAAAATGCAAGTCCCCTTTAGCCCAGCCTTTCATTCTGCGCCCCAAAGTGTGCCTGGGTGTTGAAAGTGAGAAGAGGTGGGGCTGGGGGGCAGCATGTTTTTCCAGGGCCATTTATGGGAGTGGGTGCTCTCTGGAGCTTTTAGCAGGAACCCTTGCCTCGTGGCCCAGTGGAAGTCATTCAGGGTGATGCCCACGCTCAGTGGTCGGTGGAGAGCTGGGACAGCTGCCAAAGTCAGCAGCTGGAGCCATAGAGTAAATCACATTAAGAGGGAACAGGACAAGATTTTGGAAAGAGAGAGGAGGTGCAGGTCAAACCTTTAACCAGACCTAAAGGGTGAGATGATGAGGTATAAATTGGTATTCCTTGTGCTTAGGAAAGGCAGTCTCCCTGGGATTTATATCTGGTCCTCCGGTCCCGAATGCTTTCAGGTACTGCCATCTCTGCCCAGTGGTCCTCAGGTGTGGGACATTTTGAACTGGATCTGGTGCAAACTAGGAGAGCTCTAGTGTTGCATCTGTACATGCATTTATCCAGTTGTCATCCTCAATTCCTCATACTGCCTGTAGAGAAAGACTACCTGAGCATCTCCAGTCTCTCCTTGCTGGTATCTTTAAATCATTTCTCTTCACTTATTTTTATAGACATTGGTGGTACATAGCCCTGGCACTCAGATGTTGGACACTTAGGACTCTGAAAATGGAATTGTGGCTCTAGGTAAGCACAGTGGTTTGTTTGGTCTTGAGTGGTTCCATTAAACAGGTAAACAAATAGAGGCTCAGAATTCTTACCAGGCTTGCTCCTGGTCACATATTTAGAGCACAGAAAGCAGAGACAGGCGTATAAATCAGTATAATTAACTCCATTTTATAGGTATAGAAACTAAGGCTCATACAGGGACACAAAATAACACAAGAACACACAGAGAGCTGAAGTAAGAACTAGGTCTTAAGCTCAAGCCTCTCTGGCTCTCAGTGTTGCTGCACTCCACTTGCCTGACATCTTGTTCTCTTCACCACTATCCCCTAGAGAATGTCTGGCAAGAATTCAGGAAATGGGTGGCATGTTTTCTACTTTTTTCTACCAACCATTCTAGCCAGGAGCACCCTACTCATTTATCCTTGTAACTCTGGCTCAGCTAACTCATAATTGCCTGGTGCTGCTTGTGTCAGGACCAAGCAGGGCCCTGAGAACTCACCTATGAATAAGCTGTGTGTCAGTCATTCAGCTTTGATTCTCACTCTCTTCATGCCCAGCCCATTGCTGATCCTCACAGATCCATCTCTGTCCTGGCACAGCCGTGTCCTTCTCTCCTCTCAAAGTGACCATCTTGTCTTGTGTCCTCACCAATGGCTCTTTATAATATTTAGAAAAGAGACAAACCCCCTATGTGATGTATAAGAGCTTTCCTAATCTACCCTCCCATGTTTCTAGTAGCTCCTTCATGTTGCCAGTCACATGGAAGATAATTTACTCTTCTCATGCCCCAATGCTCTTCCTGCCTTGGAGACATGGCCTCAACTGTATACTTGCTTGTAAGGCTCTTCCTTGCAATGCCACACGCTGGCTCATATATCCCTGACTTATGTAGACTCTTGGAAGCATTTCTTGGTATCCTACTCAAAGAGGGCATCCTCTATTTCAGTTCTCAGAATCAAATATCTCCGTCTTCTACACAAAATGATGTGTTAATTTTCTTCCCATCATAATGCAACCTTAGGAGGCTAGGCTTAAATCCATCCCTACGGCTGTCTGGACATTTGTCAGGCAGACAAGATGAATAGCTATGGCCCTTGCTTTGTTAACCAGCTTTCTATCCTTGTGACAAAATATTTGCAAAAATCAACTAACAGTAAGAAAGATTTATGCTGGCTTAAAATGGTAGTCAGTCCATAGTCACTAGCTTTGCTGTTTTGGGTCTGTGATGAGACTGAACATCCATCATGTGGCAGAAACATGAGGTGTAGCATTGTTGTAAGCAGGGAGGAGGTAGGGAACGAGGAAGGGAGAGAGTCGGGGAAGGGGAGAGAGGAGAGGAAGAAGCAAGAAAGGAGTGTGGTGTTTTGAATAGGTATGGCCCTCATAGACTCATGTGTTTGAACGCTTGGTCCATAGGGAGTGGCACTATTAGGAGATGTGCCTTGTTGGAGGAGGTGTGTCAATGTGGAGGCAGGCTCTGAGGTGCCATATATGCTCAAGCCAGGCCCAGTGGCTCTCTCTTTGTGCTGTCTACCAATTCAGATGTAGAATTCCTCAGCTCTTTTTTCCAGCACCATGTCTGCCTGCATGCTGCCATGCATCTCGTCATGATGATAATGGACTAAACCTCTGAAACTGTAAGCCACCCCAATTAAATGTTTTCTTTTATTAGAGTTGCTGTGATCATGGTGTCTCTTCACAGCAATAAAATCTTAACTAAGACAGGGAGGGAGAGAAAGAGAGAGTTAAGGAACAGGAATACAGAAAGGGAGAAGGACAAGAGGAGATAGAGAATTGAGAGGGACAGAAGGAGAAACAGTACTGAAGGAGGAGAGACAAGATAACCCCTTCAAGTCTAACCCTCCAGAGACCTACTTCTTCCAATGAAGCCACACTTCCAAGTGTCCAGTACTTCAGGAACCTGTGCAAGCATGTTTGAAGACAAGGGGTAGTTTCTAATCTGTCGTGGATGAGTTAAATGCCTGCATTATCCAATTACCTGTGAACACTGCTGCACTGGGGATGACTTCGTGCAGCACATGGACTTTGGGGGCACATTTGAGATCTAAAGCATAATGCTCGTCTTTAAAGCATTTATAATGTGGTTGAAAAGGTTTAAATTATATTTCTTTCTTTAAAAATGATAATCTTTTGCTAACTTTTTACTATAATATACTTTGATCAAAATTTTCTCTCTCAAACTCTTGCAAGATCCTTCACACCTCCCTGTCCATCCGACTTCATATTCTTCCTCCTCTTTCTCAAAAACAGAAAGAAAAGAAAAGGAAAAAATAAAAACAAACTAAAATTAAAAGACAAAAAGTACAAAACAGAGAGCACACCAAAAACAAAACCACCCCAAAGACAAAAAAACAACAAAACCTCCACCCAAAATGGAATCTGTTTTGTGTTGGCCAGTTACTCCTATACAAGAAGTTTGCCCTGTAGTGTGGTTGACATAGTCAGCGACACTCCATTGGAGAAAACAGATTTCCCCTTTCCCAGCAGGCATCAATTGCAAATGGCTTCTTGGTAAGGGGTGGCACTTTGTGACCACTTTCTCTTCTCATTGCTGGGATATTGTCTTTGAACCTGTGCAGGACTTGTGTGCTCTCACAAGTCTATATGCAAGTCTGTGAGTCCATATGTTTACTAGTCCTATTGTGTTTGGGAGACACTGTTTCCTAAGAATCATCCACCACCTCTGGCTCTTTGAATCTTCCTACCTCCTTTTCTGTGTAGGTCCGTGAATGGGTTTTGGTGAAGACATCCTATTTAGGACTGGGTGCTCCAAAGTCTCACTCTCTGCCCATTCTTATGTTGTGGGTCTTTGTGTTACTTCCCATCTACAGTACAAAGAAGTTTCTCAGGCGAGGGCTGACCAAGATACCAATCTATGAGTATAGCAGAATGTGGTTAGGAGTCATTAGATTGCCATATTCCTTTAGCAGAGCAAGCGTGTTTGGTTTTCCCATAGGCCCATGACCTATCTGAACTCAGGTTTTTGGCCACACAAGTGTATAAGGGTTCCAGCTCGTGTAGTGGGTTTCAACTCTAATCAGTTATTGGTTGGTTATTTCCATAAGCTTTGCACCATCATTCTTAATATCACTCTATTCCTGTCTCACATGATTTCTGAGCTTCCTAACGGCTGCACTGTTTCAGTGGTGGATCTTCTTCATTGCCCCATATCTCAAGAGTTCCTAGTGGGAGTGTTTAAGGACAGAGATCTCAGAGCAGATACTGTTGGCTTTACGGACGCTGTAACGATACGCGACACACAATTACTGAAAATAAGGCTAAGTATTTTATATAGAAAATTACTCACAAGATACCAAACCCCGAGAAGCCCAGCAGATCTCAGCTAGCGACTGGACCGGAAGCCGAACTCCAGGAAAAGAGAGCGAGACTTCCTGTGCGCTGTCTTTTATGCCTTCCCCCGTAACGCCCCTAGCCATGCCCAAAAGTGGGCCTGGCTAGTGACGTAGTTCCGCCTACGTACGTATACGTCTTTACGTCCAGCCGTATACGTCTTTAGTCCTGCCTAAAGTGGGTGTGGTTAGCGGTGTGGTAAACCGCCCTTTTATTACCTCATCTGTATGCGCCTCTAGTAAGTCACATGTTTAATGGCGGCATAGACTTAGTAAGTCACATGTTTAATGGCGGCATCAGACTTCCTCCTACAATTCCCCTTTTAGTCTAAAAAAGGACAACTAACTTGTGTCCATGAACAAAATGTATCAAACATCTATTCTATCTAAACCTAAACTTATCTTAAAGAAACACCCAAATATGAACACCTCCTTCCAATCCCAACTCTAAAATAATTGAAAACTAACACTAACAGGTGTGATCTTATAATATCAATAGTAGGGAGAGGGGGCGTGGAATTCTCAAAACTACTTCCTGCTGAGATGGGACGATGATAATCTCATGGGGACCTGTGAAAAGAAAATGTTAGTATAACAAAATCTGAGTAGATCAGACAGTCTCAGTATGGCAGGAGCTGCTTGATTGAAGTTCCTGACTGAGGTTCTAGTGTTGATTGAAGCTCTTATCTTGAAGCTCTGGTCAGATTGTAAAAGATGTGCTATTTCTGTTCCTTGGTCTGGAGTTGTGTCGAGTGATGTAGTTTCAAGCCAGTTTCAGGATAGTGCTTGTCAGGTGGAGTCAATGATGTGGGGCAATTCAGATGCCTCCAGTCGAATCAGGTGAAGTCAAGGAAGTGGATCCTCATTCTCTTTCGGAAGCAGTTGAAGATTGCTGTCAGGAAATCCCTTGTACTCTGGAAAACTCGAACATTACTGTTAACAAAGAAATATTTTAACTTTCACATGTAAGCATACAGAAGAGGTGACAATAGGGAAGATGGAAAACCTGGAGGAAATTAGACTGTTCAGAAAAAGAAATCCATAGATAACAGTCCCTCATTTTATTTCTTCTGTCTTATATCAATGGCTCTTTGATATAATACAGAAATTCTGAATTGTATTTAAATAACATGCTTGGGTTTAGAGTAGGAGAGCCAATCCAACTCCAAAGCCAGCTTCAGTTAAATGAATGGGAACTGAGGTATGTGAAGAAATAAAGATAAAAGGATACTATGAAAAAGCAATATAGAGAGATTTAGACTTTGATACCACACAGTGTGTGTTTGATGGTCCTCAGGGTAGCTATTCATTCTTCTACAGGAATCCATATGTCCAGTATTCTTTGCTGAGTTTACCTGTGAATACAAAAACAAAACACTTCTCTTTCCTTTTAGGAGGTCACTTTACCCATTGTGGACTATGAATTTGTAGATGGGCTGTTATCTTCCTCCTCCTGAGATGTTTTCTGTTCTGATCGAATTTTAATTAATTTTGATGGAACCCAAACCTTTTCTTCTCCTGTGGAAACAAAAGCATAACCCCTTCCCCAACGTAACACATATCCTGGTTTCCAGACTGAGGTCATAAAATCCTTAAAATACACCGGTTGGTTCAGTTCAGAAGTCTTCTCTGTAGTCCAGTGTCTTT